AAGAAGAACAAGAGAAGAAGGAGGAAAAGGAAGAAGCTCCTCCTCGACCACCGCCGGAGCTCTTCCTGCCGCCTGAAGACGCCAGAACTCTGCCGGATTTTCGGGAAATGTCGGGAATTTGCAGAACTTTGTAAACTTCCTGGAAGAAACAAATTTTATTCTGATTGTCCCTACTTTTGGGACGAATCAGCCATTTGTAATCTACAAAAATACTTGTGGAACTTTAGAACTGGGCGAGGTCCCGTGGTTTTTTCCCTTTTTGGGTTTTCCACGTAAAAACCCTTGTGTTCACTTCTTTTTTCTGCTTGTGTGCTGAATACTCGTACAACGCTAGGACGCGAATTTACAAACTCTACCGCCGCGTATATTCTAGCACGCAGCAACATTAATAAATAAGAACAATACACCGCAAGACCAAATAATGGCCACATAGATAAAAATTATAGCCAAAACACTACAATAAACGATCGGATCAAGCACTCTAGACGAAATCAAATTAAAAATCCCCAACCAATTTGACTTAGACTGCCCCTAGTTGCCAAGTTTGGGACCATCCAAGGAGGGAAGAAGAAAATAGCCAAAAGACAACAGAACCACCTAGGTTGCCAACCAAACCATGACCATCCAAGGGGCTTGTAGGAAACCTGCTTCATCATTGTCCTAATCCAAAAATGATGCCGCAATAGAACCAATATCAAGATAAACCAGCAAACCAAACTAAAAAGACTCCAAAAAGAAAAGTTATTTCTTTTTGGGTTTGTTTTTACTGCGCTTAACATTATTTCGAAAAAACTCACAGCCGCAACTTAGAGAAGACTTAAATCGAAATTGTCCTGAGCAACCAATTCTAACTTCTGAAATTCTTCCCCTTCAGCTAAATAAATGTCCCCTCTAACAAATTGCATTGGCACCGAACATTATTCTTCGCTAGGTGGGCTAAAATACCAGCATTGGAAATGACAGAAATGGGTACATCAACTAAGGGCTTCAAAGTAGCAATGGGAGAAATATGAAGCTCAGACGACACAACAAGCCCATCCGAACCCCCAGCCTCCACAGAACCTGAGGAAACAGAAACAACACCCAACACCTCCTCATCCTTATCATTAGTAGGACTATCTATCAGGTTCATGCAACAGTTAATAACATTCAAAGACTCATAAACAAGAGCAGAGAGCTCCACATCTTCCCCAATCGAAATGGAGACATTCAAGTTAGAGCATCCAACAGGTACCATAACCCCATCTAGAATAGGTGACGGAGTATCCAAACCATCCAGAGCATCCTCAAGAGCCATAGGTACATCACCCATGTCAGGTGCCACCACACAACCTATCTCAAAAAAAGGCCCATAAGCCTCATCATCAACACAATTCAATTTTGAAGTATTAGATAAATCAGAACCTATATTAATTACTTCATCGACAAAATTAGAAACTACAGTGTCAATGCCAGCAACATTCCCGTTATCACCAACAGCGAGACACAACTCTAAAGCACCTACATTGACATCACAAGAAACATTATTTTCCACCATATCACCCTCACAGCTAACATTAACAGTCAACGGTTTAGAGACTACAAAAACAACATTATGCACGACAAACTGGAGAGGTCGACAATGACCACTCAAATGCCCAATACATTTACAAGAAGCACAAAAGGCTGGGAAAGCTTCCATCGAAACATGTTGAATATATTCTAGATTCTTAGGACCCAACTAGACTTTATCTGGATAAGATTTCATTATGTCAAGCTTAACAGGCACACGAGCTACAGACGGTCTAGAACCCACGGAAGTAGCATTACCAACCTTCAATGGCCTACCAAAAATTAAACTCAAACCCCTTCCAAAAAATCAGGATCATACAAACATTTCTCCGCCATTCCGGCAAAAGAGGTCGGAGGAGCCGAAACGAAACCAAAATGAAACCTAGATAGGGATTACAGGCAACTCAACACCAACATCAACAAGAGGAGATCATTTGGTTAGTTTCATATAGCAATTATGAACTAAGTAAGAACGATGACAAAAAATCCTACAATAATCAAGGTCATTGCTCAACTTGATCAAAATAATTGACTGATCAAGCAAAGTAACTGAAACATCGCCAGTGAGCTTAAGGATGAAAAAAAAAACCTACGAATTGATTCCAGAGAAAACCTCTTAGAAGGGAAAAAACTAATTAAAGGAAATTGAAAATGAATCTCAAGGGCATTGATTTCTTCCTCTGAAATCCATAGCGACGGCAAACCACAAAAAAGGAAGGTTTGAGATCAGTAAATTTACCATCAGTGGGGCTACCAGCAAGAGCATCGAGAAAAGACCGAGATTTGAACGAACCTTCCAAAAAATCAGGATCATACAAACATTTCTCCGCCATTCCGGCAAAAGAGGTCGGAGGAGCCGAAACGAAGCCAAAATGAAAAACAAAACCATCACAACAAAGAAGAAAAGGGAAGAGAAAACTTCCCTAGAAGAAGGAGATCGAGGAACCGAGGAGCGCTCACCCCAAATGGGCGAGGAGCGTCAGGATCGCCCAGTCGGAAACCCTAGCAGCCGAGAGGAAAGCAAAATTTTTAACCTAATATAGAAGTTTATGTGTTAAATGTGTATTTTCAATAATTTTAGATGTTATATATGTAAAAATGCCTTATAAAAATAGCTTTACGTCACAAAATATTTTAAAAAATCATGACAAAATTATAAGGAAATAGTAACCAAATGAAATTACTGTTCAAAAGTCCCTTCCAGTTTCACAAACATCTCATGCTTTTCAACCCTAAAATGTGAGAGTTCTTCACCTTTTTAGCACAATTGGATGGTTGAAATTCTCACAGTTATTATAATAATTGCATAAATGTTCTTATCTCTCTTTCAGCTGTTCATTTGATTTTTGGAAGTTATGATTGCAAAACTCTTTACAAAAATAAAAGTTAAATGCTTAAATATCATGATTCATTTTGGTATAAATATATAATATTAGCGACATTTTATTAGAAACTTTAAAGTTAAGCATGTCTGTATAGGACCATTTTTGGGATGGGTGATCTCTTGGCATGGGAAGTTACATCAAAGAGAAAAAAATCATGAAACTATTAGATCAAAGCAGATAGTATCTCTATGATTGAGAACTTGGGGCTAAAATAATAAATTTTAAATGAGGGTACTTGAAATTGAAAATAGGATTTATTATTTTTATGCATAATGTAAGGTGATTTCTGATGATATTTTATCTATTTGTTTTAATTTCCATTAAAATGCCTCTGTAAAAACTTAAATAAAAGGAGCACTATATCATTTTTAATTTTTTAATTTTTCAATTTAGCCGACTCAGATGTCTCTTATGAGCTAAACTCTGGCGATGCTTTGGTGAAGCTTTGCATAAGGATTTTCCTTAATTGCTGCCACAGGTTTAAGCTGCACTCTCGGCTCCATTGGTGATTTACAAATACTTCGTTGAGGATTGCTTTCAAGCTGCCCTGGGGGCTTCCTTGCTGCCTTGCTGGACTGCTTGCCCGAATCAGTGCCTTGCTCAAAAAACTGTCGCCTGGAAGAATGACTGCGGGATTGTCGGTGTAGTTGCATCTCGGCCTTGAGGGAGAAGTTGACGGCTTCGGCCAACGACCACACTGCATTCAATTCTAGCTTGTCCCGGATGGTATCTTTCAACCCCCAACGTATGAGGCTACTAATTGATTAGTAGACTAATGGAGGTCATTTCTAGCACACAGTCTGAAAAACTCCTCGGTGTATTCACTCACAGAGCGACCGCCTTGTGTGCATTGTTGATACTTCAGGTAGAGTAATTGTTCGTAGTCGGTTGGAAGAAACTAGGACCGTAACAATTACTTCATACGTGCCCAACTTCGTACACTGCCTCGGCCTTCTTTCCATTGGGACTGACCACCACGCACTTGCCCCTCCCTTCAATCTACAAGCAACATATTTGACTTGCTTCCCAGGTTCGACCTCCATATAAAAAAAAAAAATTTCCACGGCCCTCTCCCAATCTAAATAATTCTCGATGTGCAATCGCTCCTCAAAGAAGGGGATGTCGAGCTTCACTCGAAACTCACCGCATTGGCTATCAAACGCCATCGGCCTCCACTGTTGGTACTACGGCGACTTTGTCCCCGTCCGAATCCTGGAAGGCATCGGAAATGCCATCTTCAAATTCATCTTCCGAATAAGACACATCCTGAGCACTGTGGAATTGCCGCCGTCCATGGAACCCACATCCGCCATGCCTGTTCGGAGGCGTGACCAGCCGTAAAGGCGTAGGAGCAGTTTCTCTTGCCGGAACTCCCCCCACACGATCTCTCCGCAGTTCAACCGCAAGGTGATTGACGCTCACGACCATTCATCTAGCCGCTTCATGACATAAGCGTGTGCGTCCCAAAGAGCCTCCAAGCTGCGATCCTCATCGCCCGACACATGCTTGCTACTCTCTGTCATCTCACCAAGCCGCTGACTCTGATACCACAAACTAATGTGGTATGTTGTGGAAGAAGCAGGGTAGAACAATGGAAAAACAAACAAAGAACTAGAGCAACAATGAGGAAGTATAATATTCAGTGTATGAAAACTTTCCTCACTCCCCAACAAGGATAAAAGCTACTGTCATGAGGTCTTTTCTCACGCTGAAAATGGCTAAACACCTCCAAAAACTACTTCGTACTATTTTATCTAAAGAAGCAAACTAGGATAATGGGAAGACAACACATAATGGTAAAATAAGAAATAGAAAGCTTAAGTATACTAATAGCTAAACTATGATGCACCGCATCAACTATTAGACCAAAAAAGATAATATTTCGATGATTAAGAATTTGATTTGCTACAATGATTGTATTTTTTAAAATAATAATATAATTTTTTTGGACGTTTAGGAGATTTGAACCCGGGTGAGTGGGGAGAAATTTCTTCCATAGACTTGATCTCACAATAGGATACTTGCAATGAGGATATATTATTTTTATGCATAATGTAAGGTGATTTCCTATGATATTTATCTATATGTTTTAATTTTCATTAAAATGCTTCTGTTAAAACTTAAATAAAAGGAGCAGTATATCATTTTTATTTTTAAATGTTTATTTTTAATTTTCAAATTAGCCGACAGATGACTCTTATGAGCTAAACAGCCAAAACTCTAACGATGCTTCTGTTAGCCTCCTCCCCAACACTGACACTCCCATCTCACTCTTCTTCATGTTCTTCTTCTTCTTCTTCCACTCTTCTCGATCTCAGAAACTGTAAAAGCTTTAGCTACTTTCGTCAACTCCATGCCATTGCCATTAAGACGGGACAAATCACTGAACCTCTTGTCGCCGCCGAGGTCCTGCGATTTGCCGCCATCTCTAGTGGCCGTGATCTGTCGTACGCTCTCCAGATATTCGATGAAATGCCCGAACCAAACATTTTCTCCTGGAATACCATCATCCGTGCCTTCTCCGAGAGCGATGAATCTCCCCTCCAAGCCGTACACATATATATACGACTGCTCCATAACGATCTACCTAAACCCAATCGGTACAGCTACCCATCACTTTTCAAAGCTTGCGCTAGAAACTCTGCAATTGAAGAAGGTACGCAGATTCATTGCCATGTTATGAAGCTTGGCTTCTTCAAAGATGGATTTGTTCTTACCAATTTAGCTCGCCTGTATACTCTCTCTGGAAAAATGGAAGATGCTCGGAAACTTGTTAAAAGAAGCTTTTTGCAGCCTGGCAGCGAAGCTAATGCAGTGCTTCACAACATCTTGATTGATGGATATTGTAGGCTTGGGATGATTTCTAATGCGAGGAAGCTGTTTGATGAAATGAATTACAAGAGTGTGATATCTTGGAATGGGATGATATCAAGATATACAGAAGTGGGGCTCTTTAAAGAGGCTGTGGATGTCTTCTATGTGATGCAGGTTGATGGCGTGAGCCCCAATTATGTCACTTTGGTTGGTGTTCTCCCTGCAATATCAAAGCTTGGAGCTTTAGGACTTGGAAAATTGGTTCATTCTTACGCTGCAAAGAATGAAATTGAGGTGGATGATGTTTTGGGTTCGGCTCTTGTTGACATGTATGGCAAGTGTGGGAGCATAGAAGATGCCATTCATTTGTTCGAAGCTTTGCCTAAGGAAAACCCAGTCACCTGGAGTGCGTTGATCGGAGGGCTATCCTTGCATGGCCAGGTTCAAGATGCCATTCATTATTTCCACATGATGGAGCAGGCTGGAGTGATCCCTAGTGATGTTGTGTTCTTAGGTGTTCTGAATGCTTGTAGTCATGCAGGATTGGTCGATGAAGGTAAAGTTTACTTCAACAGAATGATCAAAATGTATGGGCTGAAGCCTAGGATTGAGCACTATGGATGCATGGTTGATATGCTTAGCCGTGCAGGGCTCCTGGAAGAAGCAGAAGAGCTTGTGAATAACATGTCAATGAAGCCTGATGATGTGATCTATAAAGCTTTGCTTTCAGCTTGCAGAATTCATGGCAAATCCGAAGTCGGAGTGAGAGCTGCGAAGAATCTACTCCAATTAGCTCCAGCTGCTGGTGATTGTCATGTGCTTCTATCAAACTTTTATGCTTCTTTGGGAGATTGGGAAGCTGTTGCTGAAGTGCGGCTAAGAATGAAGAAACTTGACATCAGAAAGAATCCTGGCTGCAGTTGGATTGCAGTTGACGGTAGAATCAATGAGTTTTTTGTGGAAGATTATTCCCATCCAAGAATCAGAGAGATACATTTGATGCTGGAAGAGATGGCAGGAAAATTGAAGGAAGAAGGTTATGTGTCAGATACTACAGGAGTTTTGCTTAAGATTGTTGATGAGGAAGAGAAAGATAGTATGGTGCTGTACCATAGCGAGAAGATTGCTGTTGCCTTTGGGCTTATCAGCACTAAGCCTGGGATGCCACTTCGGGTGATTAAGAACCTGAGAGTGTGTGGAGACTGCCATGAATTTTTAAAACAAGTTTCCAAATTATATGGAAGAAGGATAATAGTGAGGGATCGCAGTCGTTTCCATCATTTTGAAAATGGATGTTGCTCTTGCAAGGATTACTGGTGATAACAAGTTGGAAGAGAGAATTTGCATTGAGATTATCAGTTCAAAGTGGCCCTTTTCCTCATTGAAAATTCAAGTTTCATTTTCAAAGGATGCTCTCAACTTCAAAACTGGGAGATTTTGATGTAAGATGAAACATATTTAGTCATAGGGAAGTTCCAAGGTCAGCACTTCATCATCTTCAAAATTGATTTGCGTTAATAGAACTGCGTTTGTGACTGTCAAGCTGCTGGACTTTTAGGGCTTTTTGGTTACAAGATTTAACCAATATTTAGCCAGATTTTTATGTTAAATCTTGCCAAATAATGTTTTCTACAAAAATTATTTTTTTTACTAGAAAGATGCTTTAAAAAACAGTAAGAAAAACGTCCCAAATAAAGCTTAAGTCTAGTCTAATTCATAGCGACATAACACAAAAAAAAAAAAAAAAAAAAAAAAAAAAAAAAAATGCCAAGGGTTTTACTGACGCTTTGAACGATGATGAGGCAGCTCCTTGCTTATCACCTTGCTGGTCAGGTCTTGTTGGCAACCTTGGTGATTTCCTAAGCTGATGATGTGGTTTCTTCTGTGCTTTGTCACCAATGGATGGGTCATGACTGGCTGCGGGGTCGTTGCGGGAGCTAGGTTGTCACCTTGAGTTCGTTTTTGACTCATTTTCTTATTTCCTTGATTGTTTGTTCCTTGTTTTATTGCTTTAGCTTTTCTGTCCCTTCTCTGATGTATTTTGATTCTCGGCTCTTACTTGTACTGTCTTTTTCATATTTGAAATAAAATTTATATATATATATATATATATATATATATATATATATATATATATATATATTACCTTGATTGGGGACGAATCTTGAAGCATATTCATGCAAGAAACTTCCAGAATTGAAATAAGAATCATCCAAGTTTTAATTTCAACAAACTTATAGTCGAATTAAACATCTTGAATAAATTAACCCAACGACACCAAAATCAGTCCAATCTAAGCCCAAATGAGACCAAATCAAGGGTTCAAGGCATATTTGGAGGGTTCAACCCATTAATTGGATTATGAAATGTTTGTTGAATGTGTCATGCTTATAGTCAAATCGACTGGCTCGACTAGACAATTCCAACGAGCCCAAGATCACTTAATTCCAACATCATTAAGGCATATAAATGCTCGATCAACGATCTATGACCAAGGGGATCTATATTAGTCATTCATCCTAACACTCTCAACTTGACCTTGATCTCCTTTTTTGCAAGCTATGTCACCCCTAAAAAATTATAAATAAGCTCCCATTCTTCACTTAAAAATTGAGGAAGAAAAGAGAGAGAAGAGAGGATGAGGAAGAGAAGATTTGGAGAACCATCTTGACGTCAACCACCGCCGACATTCTTCCAGATCACCGACATTCCTCGCAGGCTTTGAAGTTCTTCCCAACCGCCAACATTCTTCCCAACCATCGACGTTCTTTCTAAACGCCGTTGAAGTTCTTCTCAACCATTACCAAACTTTTGCATCAAGTGGACCCATCTAAAGATTGACAAAGCTTTTCAATACATTGTATGCTTCCTATCTTTGGGTTCGAGAATAAATTGACTTTTGTAACCTATTCAAATTCTAGTATAATTATTTCGACTTGAAAATTCTTCGTAATTTTTCCCTTTCTCAAGGTTTTCCATGTAAAAATTTTGATGTTCTTATTATCTCCTCTTTGTGTGTTGAGATTTCTTATATCACTAAAATAAAGTATTTTCACTCTATTGCCGCAATTTTTTCAGCCTGTAACAAATAGTAATCTGTTCTTCTCCCACTGCCTTTGCTAAATCATAAAACGGAGAACAAAGAGCTAGTGAAGTATCAACCTGAAATTTGTTCAAATAGTGTTGCTAAAAAGAATGAAATTTATAAATGTACGAAGATATGTTCTAAAACCCTAAACCCTAAGACAGTAGTGCCATGGAACTGATTTGATGATTTCAATGGTTTGGATCCAAATTATATCATTCTCAGTACCATTTGCAGTGATTTCATGATTTCAATGGCGAGTCTTAATTGAAGTTTTATGCAATGAATTATAGGGAATAATTTTAAGAAAATTTATTGCCTTTCTTTCCAGATGGAAAATGCTTTTCTGAAGCTTACTATGGAATTGTTTACCTGTAAAAAGGACCAACTCGCGCGTTTGACAACAATTTTTTGCTGACTCCTGATCATTCGAGTGAAAATAGAGTGAAAATACTTTATGTCGGGTCAGGTTGACCCGATTTTTTAGCAGGTCGGGTTCGGGTTGTAAAATTTGATCCGTTTGCGAAAACAGGTCGGGTTCGGATCGTGTCGAACAGTAGTGGGTCACTATCGAGTTCGACCCGAACCCGACCTGCAACCCGTTTTGGACAGCCCTAGTTGCTTCTTATCTCCCTATCTTTTTGTAAATTTATGAGTAGTCTATTTAATCTTTTTGAGATCTTTATTTCCAACAATTTATACAGTGGAATAAAATTGGATTAAAATCAGATTTCTCATCTACTATATGCAGATGACTTAGTAACATTTGGCAAAGCAAATGATCATAACAACCCTAAAAAACATTCTAGAGCAATTTGGAAAACTTCGGGGTTTACACATTAGCCATACCAAGTGTGCAATTCTCTTCTCTCCTCAAATTCCTATTCCTACAAATCTTTGTGGGGCTTTAAATATCAATATTACAAGCTCAGCTATTACATACTTGGTTACTCTTATAGTCTTATCTCTGCTAGAAGGATGTTCCTCTTTGACTTTCAATCTCTTCTTCATAAAGCCTTACTTCTTCTTGATGGTTGGAAAGCCTAAACGCTTTCTTTTGAAAGTCAACTTCAATTTATGGATTCAGTATTTAGAACTTTATCGCTTATTGAATCAGAGGATCAATTCTATCAAAAACTTATTGCTATGAAGAACTTTTACTGTCTCTCTATTTGTTATTTGATTTATTGCATTTGAAGGGAAAGAAATATGCAAAGATTTGAAAATAATGTTGAGAGTTATCTCTGTCAATATTAAGAGAGCAATAAATTTTAGAATTAGGAAGCGAAAGAAATTTCAAGAAATCAAATGCCTTGTCTAATGATATATTATGCTATCTAGTTGATGGCCGGATTATTGGATAAGGCCGGAGCTAGAAATTTTTATTAGTGGGGATATAAATTACGATGTATTCTTTTTTAATTGAGTATTGACCAAATAATAACATATAAATTGTATAAAAACATTAAAATATAGTTGAACCGATTATTTTTTATAAATAATTTGGTTGTTTTGATGATTTGATTAAAAATATTTTAAAAAATCATAGGTGTTTAATTGTGTGATTGTGATTCAACCATACGCTTATACCCTAAGATTGATTATTTTTTTGGAAGCAAATATATAATTTTCATTGTGTAATAAATATTATAAATTTGATAAAATCAAAATTTTACCAATATTAATTATTATAAATTGAAATAGAGAAGTAAAATTGAAATTAATTAATTATTTAATAAATTTATTTGACTTATTTCAGAATATTCACCTTTATGCTATCTTTAGAATAGGCGTTTATCACAGAAGAAGGTATATGCGTTAGGGAGGAAGAAGAGAGGGCAGTTTTTTCATTTTACACAAGAAATACATAACCAATAGTCTTTACTGTTCCATTGATTTGTTTCATGTTTGCTCGGCTAACTTTCTGTGCAGGATTCCATTACATCAGATTTGGTATCAGAGCCAGATGGCAGAGTAGCGACAGACGGGTGGCTCCCGGAGATGAACATAGCCTTGAAGCCCTGTGGGCAGAACACCGTGGTCTCGCGCAGCACCTGGAGGAGATTGGCGCCGACGTTCACCGATTTCATAATGAGTTGAGGCGGGACGTGCGAGCAATCTATGCTCGTCTGGATCGAATTGTTCCGCAGCGGACAATGGCGACAGCGAACACCCCGAATGGTAGGCGTAGAGCAGACGGAGCGCGGATGACAGCAGGGGACACGCCGATTCCGACGGGGTCCGACTCAGAGGAAGCTACCGGTCAATTTAGAGAGTTGGAGTTGTCAGATTCCGACGAAGAAGTAATTCACCACTGTCGAAGAAGACCCCGAGACAATGATCGACATCACAGTGAGTTCCGTGTCAAAATGGGCATACCATTCTTTGACGGGAAATTACATATAGAAGATTACCTCGACTGGGAAAGGGCGGTAGAAACCTTCTTCGAGTACATGGAAGTTGAGTAGGAAAAGCAGGTCAAATATGTTGCATGTCGACTCAAATCGGGGGCTAGCGCGTGGTGGCTACAACTTCTGCAGTCGAGAAGGCGTGAAGGCAGGGGACCGGTGCGCAGCTGGTGGAGGATGAAACAACTATTGCGTGGCCATTTCTTGCCTACTGATTACGAACAGATGTTGTATCTTCAATATCAGCATTGCGCTCAAGGTAGTCGAACTGTGAGTGACTACACGGAAGAGTTCTACCTGTTAAGTGCAAGAAATAACCTCAATGAATCCACAAATCAATTGGTCGCAAGGTATGTTGGTGGATTGCGGGAAGCTATTCAAGATAAGCTTGAATTGAACACGGTGTGGTCCGTTTCACAAGCGGTTAATTATGACCTGAAGGTAGAAACTCAGCTGGCTCGACACAGCAGAAGCAGTCAATCCAAGAGGGCACCTGAACAAGGCGGAGATCACCCACGATCAAGAAGCTTCAGTGCGACACAGGCAAGCAAAATTCAAAATTCCACCGCCAATAACCCACGTCCTGCTATTACGGGTAGTAAAAGTGCAGAGGGGAAGTTCGTGCTGAGAGGGCGGGGGCAATCTAAAGACAATCCTTACGCAAAGCCGATGAACATCAAATGTTTTAGATGTTTCCAGCAAGGGCACAAATCGAATGAGTATCCGACCAGACCACAATTGCAATTAGTGGAAGCTGAGGGTGAGGATCCACGAGATGACGCCGAGGATGAGCTGGACGAGTCGTTTGAGGAGGTAGGCGGCGATGAAGGCGAACCTCTCATATGTGTGCTTCAGAAGTTACTCTTGTCTCCGCGACTACCTACTGGCTCTCAGAGGAATGCATTGTTTAGAACGAAATGCACCATCAATGGTAAAGTGTGTACTCTATTGGTAGACAGTGGGTGCACCGAAAATGTTGTGTCGAAGGCTGCTGTAAAATCCTTAAAAAGCTGATTTTTTTTTTTGTGCTGTCCTTTCACTATGGATGCCTGGGGCGTCACAGCTGCCGTGGAAGCTCTTCAGCTTAAAACGTCCAGGAATTCAAATCCTTACAAAGTCAGTTGGGTAAAGAAGGGGGTGGAAATGGAGATCACTGAATTATGCCGTGTCCTATTGTCCATTGGAAAGAGCTACGCAAGTGAAGTGGTATGTGATGTAATAGACATGGATG